TTTAGGTGTTTGTTAATCTTGTAATTTAGTTCACCATTTTTTTTTATTTATTATTGGTGGTGGTGGTTTTTCATTAGGGGTTTATTATTCTTTTTAAAAAACCTGCATTTAGTTTTATTGATCCACTTCATATGTGTGTGTGTATATATACATATATATTTCATTTTATCAATTTTTTTACTTTATATGCTTAAAGATATATGTTAGCACTGGATTGCTAACAAGGTAGAAAAAAGTTAAGTGGTTCCCATCTAGGGCAGAATAGAAGCCCCAGATGAGAAGAGGCCACATTATATATTTTATTTTTTACTCTCCTCTCACTGTCTGTATCACTTATTTCAATGTAATATTTATGTACAAATATTTGTTGAAAAAATTAATGGCAATTATAATTACCCCACAGTGACTATTTTTTGTCTTTAACCATTATTTTATGAGTAGCAATAGACTAAGTGATTACTTAATATCTGTTGGGGGAGAATCTAAGTAGAGAAACTAGGCCTGATTTCTTTTGCTGACTTTTTTTTTTTAATTGACTCCAAATTATACTGACTGCAGAAAATTATGCTAATTTCCTGAGCTGATTTATTAGTAACACAGCTCTGGACAAATATGTTATTTGTCATCTTGATAGGGCCCAGACCTAAATAAATAATGTATAAAAATTTAGAGAAGTTAAAAAGCTCTTTATTATTGCTTCCACATTCTAGAAAAGAAAATCTGCTCTTTAGAGCACTCCACTCTTGTAGAATGTTTAATGACATGACTCAGTATAAATTTTTAAGTGTGTACTTAAGTATTTTGTTTATTCACTTATTTATTTACCTATTTATTTTCGTGTATGCATAGTTATAGAGTTTTTTTATTCGAGATATGACATGTATCTAGTTTCATCGAAATTTCATAAAGTACGTGCTCATACAAGTGTGGTGCCTTTCCACTTGTAATTATTTAAAGAGAGTATATTGAGTTTGATGATGACTTTATTTTTTTTAATATTTATTTATTTATTTATGATAGGCACAGAGAGAGAGAGAGAGAGAGAGAGAGAGAGAGAGAGAGGCAGAGACACAGGCAGAGGGAGAAGCAGGCTCCATGCACCGGGAGCCTGACGTGGGATTCGATCCCGGGTCTCCAGGATCGCGCCCTGGGCCAAAGGCAGGTGCCAAACCGCTGCGCCACCCAGGGATCCTTGATGACGACTTTATTTATTTTTTTTAATTTTTTTTATTTATTTATGATAGTCATACAGAGAGAGAGATGGGCAGAGACACAGGCAGAGGGAGAAGCAGGCTCCATGCACTGGGAGCCTGACGTGGGATTCGATCCCGGGTCTCCAGGATCGCGCCCTGAGCCAAAGGCAGGCGCCAAACCGCTGCGCCACCCAGGGATCCCTACGACTTTAGATATTAACCCTTGGATTTGTTTTCTAGACACATTGGCAATGAAACAGAAAACATTTTGCAAGTTGATATGAAGAAAAGCAGAATAACATTAAGACTCACAAACCTGTCATTGGTTTGGCAGTGAAATACATTCTTGAAATATTTTTAAAAGGCATTTGGAGTTTAAAAAGGTCACAGCTTTTTTATAGATTTTCCTTGGTTTTTATCTTTAAGAATGAAATTTAAGACTACTTATTGCAAAAGACATTGCCACAAATACAATTGTTGGTTTACCTGAAACACATGCTTTTAATGTGCTAATAAACACAAGGCAGTTATTTAAAGGATTTGTGAATTTTGTTCTCAGTGTGACATATGTGAAAAATGATTGATGGTCAAGAAGATTAATAGAGAAAAGCAAATTCTTATACAATTTCTTCAAGGTACCACCTAAAGGAATAGGCAAAGATGATATGATATAATAGAATGATATATGACATTTATGTCAAGAGAGCATTGTTAATATGTACTTGTTTATCACATATTTGTGAGTTTTCTTACAGATAAATATGGCTTATTTATAATTTATTATTATAGAAATTGGCCAGTTCTAGTTAAAATACATATACTAGGCAATATTTTTAGTGCTTATTAAGTTTGTAGAGATTACTGTTGTGCTATTTATAGCAAAATATTTCAACACTGTTCTAAACAGTGCTGTCTGAGGGCATTTTATATGATAAAATATTTTCCAGTATTTTCCATTACTGTGGCTACTGGTTACACATGGCTATTGAATACTTAGAATGTGGCTACTGCAACTGAGGAGATGCATTTTTCAAATTTTATTTAATTTTAATTAATGTAAACTTCACATTAAATCTCCACATGTGGCTGACCACCATAGTATACAGCATAATGTTTTCATTTATCTGTGTTAAAACATGTAAAATATTTAAACAGCATTTTTTAGATAATCAGTACTTATTGTCATTTGTTATTATTATTGATATTATTATGTACTTATAGTATATTTTGGGAAATAGGTTGGCCACATGAGTTCAGTTAACAACATGTTGTCTGAAGTATTTGTGCAGCATAACTCTTAAGAATCAACTATACTCATTAGACTCCATTCTCCTGACATCCACTTATTTAAAAAAAAATTATTTCAATGGGTTTTGTGTCCCATGTGAAATTTAATATCTTTTCATGTTTTAAAGCTGAGTTCTATAATTTGTGAACTCTCTATACTACTTGTTCTTCCATTCTGTATTTCTCTTCTTTTTATATTTTATAAATCATAATGGTATAAATTTGGACTTACATCAAAAAATTGTTAGAGGAAGAATGATGCAAATAAATTTTTATTTCTGAATGTTACATTAAATTATGAAGCGCATACCTCTTCTATCTACGGGATAAGAAAAAAAAATCAGTTTCATCCTTTTATAGAATTGCCATATGTACTTATAGATACCACAAAATGTTTGATTTAAACATTTTATGGAGTACATAACTTGTACCTAAAAAAAATTTAACTACTCTTAAGAATATCTTAATTTCTAGTCTCTGTTGATTTTCTGTTGTTATCCTTAGTTTGGAGCTATCTGTATATCATGAATTCCTTCAATATTCCTATGAATTAAGCCAATTTAAGTTGAATAATCATTGCTATTATATCTTTTATAAAAATTGCATTTCCCTACATTTTTCAGTAGTAGTAGCCTTGAGGTCTTTTATTAAACCATATTTAAATTTTAACACATAACTGTTCATAAGCTTAGGCAAAGATCCTCAATGTATCTGGATGATAGTTTTTGTTTGTTTGTTTTTAAAGATTCATTTATTTGAGAGAAGGAGAGCAGTGGAAAAGGGGGGAAGGGATAAGCAGACATCCTCACTGAATGAGAAACCTGATGCAGGGATTGATTTCATGACCCAGAGATCACAGCCCTGAGAACACAACCTGAGCCAAAATCGAGAATCAGACACTTAACCAACTGCACCACCCAGGTACTCCTGGATGATAGTTTTAATCTAAAATAAACGCAGCTTCCCAAAATGTTTATGTACCACAGTGCTAGGGGCTGGACTTCAACAAGAATAACTGATCCTCTCTTGTGTGAATTTTTCTGAGATCAGAAATTCTGATGTCAACAGGAAAGCAGCAGTTAGGAAAAGATAATCATAAGGAATGCAGTTAATGGACTTCAAAAAGTTAATTGGAATAAAATTTGAGGTTAATCTATTGTAGGGTTAGTGAACACTAAGGCACTAATATGTTGGTGGTGAAACTTATATTGTATACTACTGACCTTACATTGGGCTGAGGAATGTCCTAATGATCATGTGAAAGTGATTCGTGAACTTTTTGTTCTTCTCTCCAAATTCTTAATAACAGAGGCTTGGCAGGTTGCTAATCACTAATTTTGTCTGTATCCAATAGATTGCAAGGAACATCCTCCTCATTATTATTTAGAGCAGATGTTGAGAGTTGCTTACTTAATAGCTATGTCCCTTTCTTGATCCTAACTATCCTCTAATTTTGTTGAGGTATCTACCCTCATGTAACTTGTCAGTGAGCTTCACAGGTCTGTTCTCAGCCTAGTGGGTGTAGTGAATGGTAACAGCCAGCCATAGTGGCCTCATCACCTTTGAAGAGGATGACTTGACATAGGCTCCATGTCTCTTCTGGCCAATAAAAGTGCTCAACGTTGCTGGGAGTGCATCCTGATAAGGGTTTTCTTGTTTGTTAAAAGTGACACAAGAAAAAAGTCCTTTTCTCCTTATGAACTTCATTCTGAATGCAACAGTGCTATAGCTTATATAGATATCCTCTAATCTGCAGGGGAGCTCACCTGAGAACATAGCCTTGGAACTGAAACTTAAAAATAAGTCTTTATTGAAGGCTTGGAGCTTTTGAAAACAAAACAAAAGACAAAAAACAAAAAGAATTGATCTATATCCCACTTTCTCGGTTTTAGGGATAATAATTGCCATATTATTTAAACCATTGGAGTAGGGACTTTTCAGTTTTTTGAAGTTCAAAGCTTCTTAACTCATGTATCGGTATTACTTTTATACCTATATGAAGATATGTATTAAATAATTATTTGAATAAAGGCAAGTTTAGGATGACAATTTCACATTTTTTTCAAGATGCGGAAATAACTTTTACTCATGGTTATGTGGATTAGGTTTACTATGATTTGTCCATTCCTGTTAATTTGTATATTAACTTAGTTCACCTTTTTGTTTCGAAGCTCAATCTTATTTAAATAAGCATTTTAAAATTTACTTATACTCAGGATATAAAACAATTTGATTTATAATTTAAAAAAATGACACAATAAAATTAAAGGAAAGCAAGAAACTCAAGTAGAAAATTTTATTAAAATACTCAGATATACAATGAAACTAAGGTTCTGATTCAGATTCCATGAAAACATTTAATATATTCAGTAAGAAAATTTATCTGTGTATGTATAATAATTGCAGTAGTATTCTGAGTCCCTTCTATTTTTACTATTGCACAGGATGAGTTTCTGTCAGGTTTCAGAGTAGGATTTTCTATAAACTGTATACCCTAGATCACACTTGATTTGGATGGTGCTATTTCAGATGATTAGATATGGTCTCCAGGCATCCTGATGTGCCATATAATGGGTTTGAGAAGGAGTATACAGAACTCTAAAGAGAAACACATTGAGAAGATTAGGATTTTAGGCATTAAAGTAACAGATTTCTTTCAAGATCATGCAAAATACAGTGAGTTTTAAATGGATTTCCACTGGAGTAATAACTAGAGCATTTCTGACTTTCCCTCGATCACGTGTAGTGCACACTGCCTACACTGCTGACAGGCCTAGGGCTGGTATGTGTCCACAGCCCTTGGGGCATGGAAGTCACTGCCTTATCCTTACCCCTGGTAGAATGGGGAAGTACCGTGGGAGAATCTTAACTACATCTTTCTGTAGTGTTGGTTTCTCTAAGCCTGCTGTATTGATCATAGGTGAATTAAACAAACAAAAAGAAATACAAAACAAACAAACCAGACTTTTAATTGAGAGGGTAATATTTTGCAGAGTATATCAGAAAACCTTTTAATGTGGAAAGTTCTGATAGGTCAAACACTTTGATTTCTTCAACAAATAAATTGCAAGGAAAACATGGGAGACAAAATAGAACCTAGAGACTAAAAGAATCTTAGGAGACATGTCTATCCATTTGAATATATATACCTTATATCTCTCCTGACTAAAAACATAGCAACATCAATATATATAACCTCCCTTATTTATTTGTGAGATAATTAGGGTAGGTTGGATGCTAATTGAATATTTCATGGCATCAAATACTTATTAAATGTGTAGATATGATACTGTGTTTATATTTTTTCAAAGTCTTCATCCCTTAATGTTATAACTTACGTCTTTACAGGTGAAATTAAATGATATCTGGAATTTGTTTAAAAATACCATGGTTGACACCAACAGCGAACCCTAATATAAACTAGGACTCTGAATGATAGGTAGATAAAGGTTTGTCAGTGTAACAAATATATCACCCTGATGTAGAATATTGATAATGGGGGAGACTGTGTGTGTGTGTCTGTGTGTGTGTGTGTGTGTGTCTGTGTATGTTGGCAGGGGGGATATATGAGAACTCTGTGTATGTTCTGCTCAATTTTGCTATAGACCTAAAGCAGCTCTAAACAAAACAGTCTTAAAAAAATAGAAGAAAGAGAAATTAAGGAGTCAATCCCATTTACAATTGCACCCCAAAGCATAAGATACCTAGGAATAAACCTAACCAAAGAGGTAAAGGATCTATACTCTAAAAACTATAGAACGCTTCTGAAAGAAATTGAGGAAGACACAAAGAGATGGAAAAATATTCCATGCTCATGGATTGGCAGAATTAATATTGTGAAAATGTCAATGTTACCCAGGGCAATTTACACATTTAATGCAATCCCTATCAAAATACCATGGACTTTCTTCAGAGAGTTAGAACAAATTATTTTAAGATTTGTGTGGAATCAGAAAAGACCCCGAATAGCCAGGGGAATTTTAAAAAAGAAAACCATATCTGGGGGCATCACAATGCCAGATTTCAGGTTGTACTACAAAGCTGTGGTCATCAAGACAGTGTGGTACTGGCACAAAAACAGACACATAGATCAATGGAACAGAACAGAGAACCCAGAAGTGGACCCTGAACTTTATGGTCAACTAATATTCGATCAAGGAGGAAAGACTATCCATTGGAAGAAAGACAGTCTCTTCAATAAATGGTGCTGGGAAAATTGGACATCCACATGCAAAAGAATGAAACTAGACCACTCTCTTGCACCATACACAAAGATAAACTCAAAATGGATGAAAGATCTAAATGTGAGACAAGACTCCATCAAAATCCTAGAGGAGAACACAGGCAACACCCTTTTTGAACTTGGCCACAGTAACTTCTTGCAAGATACATCCACGAAGGCAAAAGAAACAAAAACAAAAATGAACTATTGGGACTTCATCAAGATAAGAAGCTTTTGCACAGCAAAGGATACAGTCAACAAAACTAAAAGACAACCTACAGAATGGGAGAAGATATTTGCAAATGACCTATCAGATGAAGGGCTAGTTTCCAAGATCTATAAAGAACTTATTAAACTCAACACCAAAGAAACAAACAATCCAATCATGAAATGAGCAAAAGACATGAACAGAAATCTCACAGAGGAAGACATAGACATGGCCAACATGCACATGAGAAAATGCTCTGCATCACTTGCCATCAGGGAAATACAAATCAAAACCACAATGAAATACCACCTCACACCAGTGAGAATGGGGAAAATTAACAAGGCAGGAAAGCACAAATGTTGGAGAGGATGCGGAGAAAAGGGAACCCTCTTACACTGTTGGTGGGAATGTGAACTGGTGTAGCCACTCTGGAAAACTGTGTGGAGGTTCCTCAAAGAGTTAAAAATAGACTTGCCCTACAACCCAGCATTTGCACTGTTGGGGATTTACCCCAAAGATTCAGATGCAATGAAACGCTGGGACACCTGCACCCCGATGTTTATAGCAGCAATGTCCACAATAGCCAAACTGTGGAAGGAGCCTTGGTGTCCATCGAAAGATGAATGGATAAAGAAGATGTGGTTTATGTATACAATGGAATATTACTCAGCCATTAGAAACGACAAATACCCACCATTTGCTTTGACGTGGATGGAACTGGAGGGTATTATGCTGAGTGAAGTAAGTCAATCAGAGGACAAACATTGTATGTTCTCATTCATTTGGGGAATATAAATAATAGTGAAAGGGAATATAAGGGAAGGGAGAAGAAATGTGTGGGAAATATCAGAAAGGGAGACAGAACATAAAGACTCCTAACTCTGGGAAACGAATTAGGGGTGATGGAAGGGGAGGAGGGCGGGGGGTGGGGTGAATGGGTGACGGGCACTGACGGGGGCACTTGACGGGATGAGCACTGGGTGTTATTCTGTATGTTGGTAAATTGAACACCAATAAAAAATAAATTTATTATTTAAAAAAATAAAGGGTTAAAAAAATGAAAAAAAATAAATAAACCAGCACCCCACTCTGATGTGTAGTGGGAATGGGTGGTAGTAGAGGTGAAACTAGAATGACCATGAGTTGGATACATGGCAGTTCGTTAGACTGTTCTTACAATTTCTATGTCAGGACCTGAGAATTTTCACTAAGAGTTTTTAGAAGGGTATTTTGGAGAAGTCTATTTCTCTGACACAAAGTCAAGGAAGGCACACTTAGTTTAATACAAACTCATTGTTTCTGAAATAATAGAAATCAAGGCAGCAAGAAAGTTCAAGAACTGTGACAGAATTTCTTTTCTAGCCATTCTTAATGGAAGGGAAAAAATGTGAAAGAGGAATTGTTTTTTTTTTTTTTTTATCTGGATAGAAAAAAAGAAATTGCTTCTAAGTTTCTCTAGTGTCATTGATTGCACTGCCATATGCATACATAGTAGAGTCTTGAAAGCACCCTGAAAGTGGGTCTTTGATACAAACCCTCATCCATGTGCCAGAGAGGCCATTTTTTTTTCAGTAGAAAGTAAAAGATGCACATATTTCTAGCAGCTCTTCAATTATTACAAGTTTAAAAGATATTAGGACGCCTGGCTGGCTCAGCAGTTGAGCATCTGCCTTTGGCTCTTGACGTGATCCCAGAGTTCCGGGATCGAGTCCCACATCAGGCTCCCTGCGTGGAACCTGCTTCTCTCTCTACCTGTGTGTCTGCCTCTCTGTGTGTCTCTCATGAATAAATAAATAAAAAAAAAAGTATAAAAAAAGAAATAAAACTCCAGTTAAAAAAAGTTTAATAAATATTAATATAAAAATGTCAAATTTAAAGCACTATATTTTCTTTCCTTATATCAAATTTAAAACACTATATTTTCTTTTCTTATATCATTTGTATCTTTCAGATACTAAATATAAACTAAAGATCTAAAAAAAGATTGAATTTCCTTTCCTTTCCTAAAATGAAAGTAGGTTTGCAAAAAACAAAAAACAAAAATACAAAAGAGAGAGAGAGAGAGAAAATAGGTTTGCATTACACCTACTTACTTTGCCAACAAGATACATTAGGCTTCTTAAGTATCCATTTATTTATTTATTATCCATTTGAAATGTGGGAGCTACATTTTAAGTTTTTCTCTGTGTCTTCATTGACTTGAAATTTCATCCAAATTAATTCTCTGCACCCTGGGAAAATTTTTGTTTTCATTCCTACCAAAACAGTAATAACTCAAAGCATGTATGACATCATTATTGAATAAAAGCACATATAAAAATGTCAAGTGTTGTTTTAGCCTTCAGCCATATCAACCAAGGCTCCCAAATTACTAGAAACCATCTAATCTTGCACCATAGTACTCATTTCAATAATGGTAACAGCTGTTGATGGCCTATTTTTCATGTAAAAATAATGGGGCTATGAAAGTTTTAGCATTCTATATGCTCAGTTACACAAGAGAATGAATCTGATGTAATATTTCTAAAATCAGATGTAAGGTTTTCATGGATAAGAAGTGATGTGTCATGGCTAATCCTATTTTATACCCAAGTGTATGCTCATATTATCTACTTAAGAAAGAGATGAGAAAGATTTTACTTCATTATCTGTCTAGTCTACTTTTTTTGCGCTGATAAGGAAATAGCCCTAAAAGGTCCCAAGAAAGATGTAATACACTTTAATTTCTTCTTTAGTCTTCTAAATGATCAGGTAATAGCCCTTTACTGCTCACATCTCAATTTAAAGCACAGCACAGAATGCTGTACTTCTTTTGTCTTTGGGAATAGAATATAAAGAACAGTCAATAAAGAGTTACTATGGGTAGCTGACTAATACTCTGGGTTAAACTGATGTTTTCCAGAGTTGTCAGCTCTTGTTGAGTATGAACAGTAACCACAAAGCCACTTAAGAGTGAACTGACTTTACAAACAGATTGAATCTGTCCTGGAATGGAAAATTCTCATTGCATATTTAGAGAGACTAAAACTCCTTCCCATTTCCAATGAAATAATTCCGTTAAAACATTGTTCTTACCCATGATATGGAATCATGTCCAGATAACACCGTGTGTGTGTGTGTGTGTGTGTGTGTGTGTGTGTGTGTGTGTGTGTTTCTGCTTCTGAAACAATACAATTCACCGTTACCACTTACCTCTCTTTTCTCTGGGTCACTCCAGTTCCCATAAACTGGATTAACAAATGCACAGTTAACACTTCCTTTAGTTTTCCTTAAAGCACACAAGGCCATAAAAAAAGTATAAGTATTGAAGTATAGCACAGTACATTTTTAGTTTATTATCTGGTAGACATCTTTGAGAGACATATTGTCTAGCCAGCATACTTATTTTTTGAATATATTATCATAAGTAAGGCTATTACTTTCTTTTCAGGACAGAAAGGCAACTACATTCTTATAAGTAAATATAATTTGAATTCTGAATACTTAGATCCAAATAAACACAGACAAATAAGAAGTGGCATAAATTGGTCTTAAAGTCGATTTCTTAAAATATCACTCAAGCGATACATAGGGTACAACATTATAAAGAGCTGGCTATATGGAAAGGCTACCATAGACTTCAAAAGTGCTAAACCACCAAATCCTGAGGACTATTTTTTCATGACAGTGTTGGTCATAAAGATCTATAGCAATGGGTCATTCCATAATGTTTTAAACAGCAAATTTAAATATGAGTGTTTTGAAGAGTTCTTAATGTTAGTGTTTCCTTTAAATGAATCAGAAAGAGATGTGTCCTTGATAATCTCACTTGTTGGTCTAGATCTGCTTAATATATTCTGATTGACTATACTCCTAAATGATCATTTCTTTTTTTGCTTTACTTAATTACTCAAGTGTCAGCAGATTTATTAGAAGACAACAAACCCTGAAATAGTTGGTCACAACTGATGAGTAAAAAATGCCCACCACAGAAATAAAAAAAATATAACCAGATAACTAAATATATCCCATTAAAGATTTATAGAATGATCCCATCATGCACACACACACATTATAAGAATAATGGAGAATAGAAGACTAATTATAGGATGATTGCTAGTGTCTTGAGGGCAGCTCAGTTATGAGGAAAAAATATGTAATACATGAATATTTTTGCCTAATCAGGGTATAATGACAATAAGTCTGTCAATAACATACCCTTAGATCCTAAGAAAATGTAGTAGAGAGGGAAACTCTTACTGATTTGTTTTTTGGAAAGAAATCTTCAGTTATGACTTCTTTTTGTCACCTACCAAAATACGCGATGAGTCCAAGAGTCTAATCTGGGTAATTGTATTTGGCTGGCCATATGTTCTTCCTATGGATTAAATCTTCAAAGTTTCCTAATCTCCACTATTTCTATACAATTGCCTTGAATATTTAGTAGCTTAACCAGTTTGCCCTCATTGAATCTACATTTTGGGTATAATGCATATATATATGTGTATATATATATGTGTGTGTATATATATATGTGTATATATATACACATATATAGCAGCTATATTTGTGGGTTGTTATTTGAAAACAGTCATAGGTGCAAGAAATATCTGTTAATTCCTTAACTACAGTAAATGAAGACTTATGATTTCCTATAGTTAGATTGAATAAGTGGTATTTGATTCTTTGTCTTTCCCTCCTCCAAGACTAGTCAACATAAAGTTCTCAGAGTGGTAAGCTCAGTAATGATACAGTTAGGTGAAGAACTAGGCAGGGCTGCTTTTACAGTTGAGACTGGATAGGGAATTGAAGGGAAATTTCAAAATGTGTCGAAATGCCAAAACAAAGCCTGGCACAGGAGAGACTGAACATTGAAGTAAGGAGTAACAAAACAAAATGGAAATTAGGAACTAGATAAAGATCAGACAAATGCCTCAGAAAAATTAATCTCAGCTGAAATCAGGCATGAAATCAGGAAGCAAGAGGAAATCCAAACCATAGGGCTAGATAGGACAGATGGTCCAAAGGCCAGGCAGGGAACCAGGAACTGAAGGGATAGGCTTGGCAGTCAATTGGATAGAAGTGAGGTACAAGCAATACAAAAGATCTTGATATGAGACAATTATTTTTGGCTTTGGAGTCTGGACCCTAGATGACCTAGACCAAGGTTGGCAGGTAGAAGGCAGTAATTAAACAGTCTTCCAGCTCTGTTAAATTCAGCTATGGGAGCTACTTTTCTTCTGAGAGGATTTTAAGTCTTAAAATTTTTTCTATTAAAGTGAAAAAAATAAGAAAGACCTGTAGGTGGCTAGACTTTGGGGGTTGGGTGACTACAAAAAGAGTGACACTTAAGGATGTGGAGTTATAGTAAAAGAGGAAAGGGTCACAGTATAAGTAGTAGAATGTGAGCAATGGTAAATTTACCCTCCTTTAAATTATGTTTATTAGCAGTCACAAACTACTACTATTTTTTCCATCAAAGGTATGCCCCCCAATATTAGAAACCTCTGAATTGTTAGGCTTAATTTTCAATGTCTTTCCTATATATAGTGTAAAATATCACCCATCATCAAAAGATACTTCCATTAAGTAAATTTCTAGTGTCAACTCCATACGTTTAATCTTTCAGGACTATGATATATTTTCTATATGTATCAATTATATGTAAATTTGATATTAAATCATAATTCCACTTCATTTCCTCATTTCTATGAGGAAAATGAAACATCTGATTGTAAAGTTTTCTGTCAGTACATTACATTGTTATGTGCAATGATAAGCCTGTTATTAGGCTAAAAAATGCTACATTTAGCTTACACTTTGTCAGTAGTCTGATGGGCCTAGAAGAGTTGAGGTGTCAAAGAATCTCACCACCTCCAGGAATCAGCAAGGAACTGACTTAGAAGTTTGGAGTAGAGAGAAAAAGCAACATGAACCACATGGGTTTTTCCATCCATAATTTAAATTCACTTAAATTATCCTTAGGTCCCGCTATATCAGTATGTACAGAAACTGTATAGGGTGGCATTTTGAATGGGCTAAAGAGAGAGATGTCAGTGCAGAACTGGGATAATTCTCATGAGAATTTGTAATTTAAACTAAGCATATGTATAACTCTAAAAGCATTCACTTCATGGCTTATTAATTAACAAAATTATTTTAGTGTTGATTAAAAATATGAAAGTGTAGGTATCTGAAATTACTGTAAATGATTAGTGAAGAAAAACAAAGATAAAACAAAATTCATCTCTTACATCCACTAAACATGACTTTGAGATAAGTGTTTATTATATGTATATTTTAACAGCTTTCTTGAATTATCACACACCATATCAGTTTACTCATTTAAATAGATGGTTCAATTTTAGTAATATTAATTTTATTTTTAAAACTGGTAAAAAAATATATATACATATATATAACATAAAACTTGACATTTTAACCCCTGTCACTGTACATAGTTCAGTTGCTTTCATTATATACACAGTGTTACACAACCATCACTTCTATTTACCAAATGTTTTCATAACCAGAAACAGAAACTCAGTAGCTATTAAACCATAATTTCCCACTCTCCTATCTCTCCAGCCTCTGGTAACCTCTGGATTTACCTTCTGTCTCTCTGAATTTGCCTGTTCTAAGTACTTCACAAAAGTAGAATTGCACAATATTTATCGTTTTCTGTCTGGCTTATTTCTCTTAGTGTAATGTTTCAAGTTTCATCCATATTGTAGCATGTATAAGAACTTCAGTAATTTTTATGGCTGAATAATACTCCATTGTGTGCATATGTTACACTTTGTTTACTCCTTCATCTGATGATAGACACTTGAGTTGCTTTCACCTTTTGGCTATTGTGAATGATTTATGAATGTTGTCCTAGAAGTATCTGAGTTCCTATTTCAATTATATATCTTTCATGGGTTTATTTGCCATTTGTATATCTTTAATAAAGAAATGTCTACAAAAGTCTGCTTTTAAGTGGGTTGTTTTTCTTTTTGAGTTGTAGGAATTTTTATATATTCTGGATATTAAACTCTAATCAGATGTATAATTTCAAATATTTTGTTCTATTCTGTAGGTTGTCCTTTGATTTTGCTAATGTCCTTTGATACATTAAAATTTTTGATGAAATCCAACTTATCTTTTTTGATTTGTTTCTTGGGCTTTTGGTGTCATATCTAAGAATGTCTTGTTATCTTTTCACACGTCTGTTGGTCATCTGTATGTATGTCTTCTTTGGAAAAATATCTCATGTCCTCTGCCCATTTTTTACTTGGATTGTTTTTTTTTTTTTTTTTTGATGCTGAGTTGTATAATTCTTTGTATGTTTTGGATATTAACCCCTTTTCAGATTATATCATTTGCAAATATCTTCTTTGTTGATTATTTCCTTTACCAGCAAAAGCTTTTTATTTTGTGTAGTGCCAATAGCTTAATTTTGTTTTTGTTTCCCTTGCCAGAGGAGACACATCTAGAAAAAATATTTCTATGGTTGATGTCAAAGAAATTACTGCCTGTTTTCTTCTAGGACGTTTATGGTTTCAGATCTCTATCACATAATCAGTGAAATGAAAATAAAAGCCACAGTGAGATATTACCTCAAAATGGTTAAAATAAAAGACACAAGAATTAGCAAGTGTTGGCAAGAATGTGGAGAAAAAAAGAATCTTTTGTGTACTGTTGATGAGAATGAAGATTGGTATAGTCAATCTAGAAAAATCTAGAAAAATATAGATGTTCCTGAAAAAACTGAAAAAAGAGAATTACTATATGATCCAGTAATTCTGCCACTGAGTACTTATCCAAAGAAAACAAAAACACTAATTTGAAAAGGTACATGTTCATTGCAGCATAATTTATAATAGCTAAGATATGGAAGCAACCTAAGTGTCCATCCATAGATGAATGAATAAAGAAGCGTGTGTGTGTGTGTAATATATATATATAATATATAATATATAATATATAATATATAAATATAATATATAATATATATATATACATGGAATATATACATGGAATATATAGATGGAATTACTCAGCCATAAAATAATAAAATAAAAAATAATGAAATCTTGCTAGATGTAACAATGTGGGATCTGAAGGGTATAATGCTAAGTAAAATAAGTTAGGCAAAAACAAATACTATATAATTTCACTCATATGTGGAATTAAGAAAACAAATGGAAAAAAAAAGGAGACAGTAAAAACAGACTCTTAAATACAGAGAAAAGACTGGTGGTTGCCAGAGGGGTGGTAAGTGGGGGGGGGGGAGATAGATAAAAG